ATACGTGTATATATATGTATATGTGTATACGTATAATATACATGCGTATATATATACACACGTATGTATGTACACGCGTATATATGTACATATATACATATATATATATACATATATACGTATATATATAGGTGTATATATATGTGTATATGTATGTGTATATATATACACGTATATATATATATAGAACCTATATACTTTTTAAGTCATGTATCATGCATAGGAACGTTGACGCCTGCAAGGCTCTGGTTTAGTGTACAGTAGAACCCCTCATTTACGTACGGCACGGGCCCAGAGCCGTTTGTAAATTCGGGTATTCGTAAAATCGGGGTTGACCCAAATTCCTATATATTTGCACTGATACTACTTACACTGGCATAAACTAGGCCTAGGCTAGGCCTACAGGCTTACGCAGCTAAGTCTGGGGGGCCTAGGCCTACAGTTGGCAGCTTCTAAGCATTCTGATCCCACTCTAGGCCCTGCACAAATTTGTTTTTATCGGACATTTTTACCTTCTTAAATACCTAGATCGTGGATTTTATTCCAACACAACTTCCATAGATACTTGTTTATTATATATATTGATCATTCAATAAAACAATCAAGCACTATGTTGAATTTTAAAGCTGAAAACGATGTTTGAAAGAGAAGTAAAATTTGTCGCATGCACATGTGTGAAGACTTTGAAGAAGCCCGTTAGAGGGCCTCCTTCACTTGAGAATTACATAGTACTGTATAGTATGGTGTGTTGTGTTGTATGCATGGTAATAACAGGTACAATTCGAGCGGGGTTTTTTTTTTTTTTTTTTTTTTAGCTTTGTGTGACATGCATCCGATGAGGGCGCTGTTCCTTATTCCTAGAAATCCATCACCGAAACTCAAAAGCCCTAAGAAATGGTAAGCAATGATTTTTTAGTGTATTGTGAATATCCTCTATTATTGTTGGTGGCTTGTTTGTTTGTATTTAGTAGCTCTACAGGTCATTCGGTTTCATGGTGGAAGTATGATGAGGTCCAAATTGTAAATATTTATTTTGACTTTTTTTTTCTTCAATTTCTTTTAAAATTACAGGAGCAAGAAATTCCAGAACTTTATTGAGAAATGCTTGATAAAAAATTACCATGATCGACCTAACACAACACAACTTCTGAAACATCCATTCATCAAGGACATGCCGAACGAACGCCAAACAAGGATACAACTTAAGGATCATATTGATAGGACAAAAAAGAAACGAAGTAAGCAAACCAACCTAAAATCCTAATTTAAATAAGTTAATGTGAACCTGGGTAAAGACATTTTCCTGTCAGTGAAAGATTTTGTGTATTGTGTATGAACAAGCAATGTATAAAAACCTAGATTAGTTTAATTGGTATTTTTGTTGTTTTTGATATTTTTATTATAATGATGTTTTTGTTTAATTAGAGTGTTTGATATTTTCTTCATATTTTTTATTTTTATCTTTTTTGTTTAATTTTGTTAGGTAAACTCTATTTTATAAAAAATATATCATTATTATATTAATTTTAGTTGAGGATTCTACAACAGATCATGAAGGTTATTTAAGTCAGGAGAGTGATGAAGATGAAGCGATACAAGATGAAGGGGAACCAAGGTATGGCCAGTATTTATCATTAGTTGTTGCCCAAGCAATGAGTAACAGAAATTAGAGTCTTTCGGTCAGTCATCTACACTCTTTGTTACTATAGGCCAGAGACTAGAAATGGGTTTGTCGGCCGACGGTCTCACACAATGCAGTGTGTGTGCTTGCCTAAAGTTTCATATCAAGACTTAAAGAGCATTGCTTCCATGATTGATTGACCCCATGTCAATCAATCAATCAATCAATCAATTGCTCTCAGAAAATGAATTAAACAGTTATGGCATCTTGCTATTGAGATCCCTGTTCCAATTTGTGCATACACATGAATGCTTTGTGACCGCCAATTGAAAACACTTGTTTTAAACAGTATGTTAATATTTCCTTTGGAGAATGATGTTATTAATGTTCATAGATTAAATTACACTGTAAGAGAAAAATACAAAAATCATCTTTGTTGAACATATTAATTTAAATTTTAAATAAATACAGAGAAGACTAACAATCATTTTTACACCTTTAGTTCTATGCTACC